ATACATCGACTGGAATGAATTCCTGGTTTACCTCAAGTGGGCGATGCGTGAATATCCCAACATTAAAGATGTCGATGAGCTTTTGAGCTTCGCCTTCAATAAGGGAATCATGCCCGCCATGCGAGATGAAGTACTTGTCAAGAAAGCAAAGAAAAGTGGAGGAAAGAGGTTCAAGTCCAAATAAAAGATGATTTAGTACTGATCAGGCACCATGTTCACAGACCGTGATCTCAAACCTTGTGGGATTTTGTTGCCAATGCTAAAACTTCTAATAATTACTAGTAAACTGTTCAGTGTAATTCTAGCAGTAGGTGTTATTTTTCCCTCACAAACTTGTTTGTTGGGACTCAAGTTTCGGGTTTATCGCATATCATCACCTGTGATTGTGACTGGCACTTCTGTATCTGGTAGGTTATAATAAAAATACCTCAAAGACGGATTGGATATTTGTTTATCCCGGCAAAAGAGACGACAACTGATTCTTATAGAATATTTTTATGAAGAATTCGGTGACGAAGATTCACGTTAATTATCAGAATTTCTGGTAGCCTTCTATACGTTATGTTTTTGGGGTTTCAGAAGAGTGTACACACACACAAGATGGTGAGTCAACAGCAAGATTGTATTGATAAGAGCACATGGTAATATTACCGCTGCATACTACGCGGGCTCACAACAAACGGACAGTCAATACAGAACATCTCCATACTATAACACTATCCTTCCCCTGCCCACTTGCTGAAAATTGTAAAAAAACCCCTCTGAGGCCAGTTAGAGTAAGGTCAGCAGAGGTGTGATAAACAAAATAAGAGGACTGGTCTAAAAAACCTTTTGGTGAGGGTCTTAGAGTGGAATCCTAGCCTATCAATTGGCTGTAAATCAAGAGCAATATTGCCAAAGTTCTCAGCTTCACAATTTCATCTTGACACATGAGAGGTAAATCTGTCTTTCCATATTCAATTTCATGGTGTTCATTTAGATGAGAAGAAAAACTTACTACAGCAAACGAGCTAAGACCAAGCGCTGTGCAAACGCTCTTTATTTAAGATTTTATTCAAGCTTACGTTGAACACATTTTAAACCTGGGAGAATGAAGAAAAATACCAGTTCTGTCCCCCAGAGAAAGAAATGGATAAAATGTTACGAACGTTCGATTGTCTTCTCAGGATAGCTGAGTATTCAGAACTGTTATGTTTACAGAATGCATTTCATTACATTCCGGCTTTTATACCTGATAAGTGGGTTCTTCCATTTTTAGAATTTGGTCCCAATACCATTACAAGTGATCTTCTGAGTGGTATAATATGCCTGATAACTGTTGTGTGCCGCTATGCTGTAAGAACGGATATCGAGTAGGGCCGAACGGAGGAAAGATCACTTATCACAGCCTTCCGACGACAGATCCAAGAAGACTTAAGGCGTGTCTTTTAACCCCTGTTGTTTTGATAAACTAACCATTACATTAATTATGTGTTTGGTTTTTCTGTCGTTGTTCAAAGCTTGAATAAATCGTAAACCAGTCTTCGCTTACTTTGTGACTAATTGTGCTTTCACTGTTAATCCTTTGAGGCTCACATTTTTGCTGCGGAGAAGCTCTTTAAGTTCATTTACATGCATCTTCTCCACAGGTCTCTCCATGCTTTACGTTGAACAGAAGCCAAAACAGAAACATACAGTAAAACTTGGTGCAGCCTTTTATTAAATGAGAAGACAATCGAACGTTCATAACAAAGCATAATTCAAGACGTACCTCCCAGACTGTAACTTTCGTTAAAAGTCTAGAGTTATTTTACTTTGATGGTACTTTCTTCCAATTACTCATCTCTGATAAAAGAACAGATGATGGAGGCCTAGGCCTAAAGAAAGCACAAGCAAACCTGGTATTAGCTGGCACAAAGTACTTGAAAACAGACGCAGCCAGCCCTTGGCAACAGCGTTGTTACGGGGTAGCCTCGCTTTGGAGGTATCGTCGCCATATTTGCAAACGGTGCATGTATTCCTGAAAACGTTTGCAATCCCTAAAGACTCATAGAAAAAGGACACATCTGGACTTACANATGATTTGCATTTTTTTACATCGCGTTTATTTAAATACTTAAAAAACTGGGCGAAGGCACATCTTTAGTAATTTTAATTTAGTTTAAGTTTTAAGTGTATACAGACTGGAATGTTTAGTTATTTTAAATTTATGATTGTAAATATTAAATAGGTTTTAGTTGATCCTATAATGTATTTAGTTAGTGACAGATTAAGAGCCACTCTGTGGAAACACTGTCAATAAACTTTACTTTACTTTACTAATTTGCAGTAATCCGGATGTAGTTGTGTACATTTTTTTTGTCTTTGAAGTTCCGAGAATGCTTACAGAATTTGATCCAATAATAAGTATATTATGTTAATTCTTTCCGAAAACCCTTAAAACCAGCTCTCTGCACAAAAAGTTTTCTGGTATTTAAACTAAATGACTTTGTATAAATAAATGCACCACTTGAGGTTTGGAAGGGTGGGGTGATATGGGTAATATTGGTAATATGATATTTTGGATCCCTCTACCCAAGGGGGTGGGTGGACAAGTTCCCCCCTTTTCCTTTCCACTGTTACATTTCTGCCTTATGAATGTGTGAGTGTAGAGAGATAGTTCATTGCTCACACTCTTGTTGGACAAAGGAATTAGAAAGGTCCACAACTTAAGCGGTTTCATTGTTAAGGTTGGCATATTTTGTTTTTTGTGTGATTATTGTCAAACAAATTGTTATCATATTGAATTGAACATTTCCAGTTGAAGCAAAAGAAATTACTTTAAAGCTCCACCAATGATAAAGCTGAATCACCCCAAATTATTAAATTAGATGTGTATTTCTTCCAATAAATCACAGGCAAGTGCAAGAGGCAAATATGTGCAAGACTTTGCCAGATAATGTTTTGGAATTGATAACTTTTTGGAGACGACAATGGAAAACCTTAGATTGTAGTATTTCTCTTAAATTTGCACAACCACTTTTGCTTTTTAGGAGCCTTTGCGTATTTGTATCACTGGTGCTGCTGGACAGATTGCTTACTCTCTACTCTATTCTGTTTGCAAAGGAGATGTGTTTGGAACTAATCAGGTAAGGAAGGACATTACAAGCTAGATGTGTGTTATGCTGTAGAAAATGAATCCAATTTGAAACAAATTGAGCCATTAGGATCCACTTGTTATGGTTCGTCAACATTTCTTGTTTGGTGTCTTTGGATGATAGATGGTATATTTATTCTTGTCCTCAGCCACTGAGTGTACTCTTGCTGGATATTGTTCCTATGATGCCTGTATTGGAGGGTGTAGTGATGGAATTGCAAGACTGTGCCTTTCCTTTATTGCAAGGTAAAAAAACAAGAGGGACTAGCGATATTATAAATTAAAGTTGTAATAGTCTATTAAATTTTGACTCGGATAATATACAATTATCTAGTTCTGTGAATGACTGTTGGTTATTTTGCTTTTGAAGCCGGGTTGCATAGAGGAAGGCTGCTTAAGACTTCTGATGCACTGAGAGATTCTCCCTGCAAATTCTCTTCTTTTTCCATGTAAAACCAAAAGATAGTTTCATTTTGCAAGAAAAGTCACTTTGAGTTTAATTCTTTATAACCTTCAGTAATTCAATAAAATTAATGGTGGACATACAAAACTAGGGTCAGGTCCCAGTGCACCTGCATCAGATAAGATCAAAATCTGCTGAGGGATATAACATGTACTTTATAACTTCTTTTTATATCTGTCAGAGGTAATTTCAACTTCTGAGCCAGGTGAGGCATTCAGCAACATTGATGTGGCCATTCTGGTTGGAGCCATGCCACGAAAACAAGGAATGGAGAGAAAAGATCTTCTGAAAGCTAATGCTAAGATCTTTGTTGAACAGGGAAAGGCCCTGAATCAACATGCCAAGAAAACTGTCAAGGTACGATGCCAGTGAAAATAACCATTGTATTGTCATTTATCATTTTACTGGAAATCCTAGTTACCAGCCCTCTTTTCCTCTTTTCTTTTTGTATTTTATTGTAATCAGACATGACATGAAACTTAGCATAATGATGCACTACCCACAAATAGCAGAGCTAGTCTCGGCAGGTAGTGTGTGTGGACGCTAAAACATCTAAAATAAAATTCGGCTTAACGAAAGATTCAATAATATTATACAAGAAACCCAAATTAAATCATTAAAGCACGAATGACAGTATGAGAAAAAAATACAGAAACAGAAACACATGACAATAAATAGAAGAATACATAAGTTATACACTACTATTAACTGTATTTAACATAACTATCCTTAACTTGAAGATTTTGAAATAATATTGTTGTTATCTTTTTCTTGAAAATGTGTTTTGGAAGATTACTTAAGTTTCCTGGGATGCTATTCCAAATTTTACAACCAATCCTTGAGAATGAGTTTTCATGTTGATTTTATGCCTCCAACCCAACTCCTCAGCAACCTGGTTAGCCCTTTCACTCCCAAGATCTCACTAGTGATTCTCTATACCCTATGCTATACAACTGTCGTGTTGTTAGTTTTGAGAATTTCCCTTGATATTCTAAGAAGAAATTCTGTTGGTCACTCATAGGAGTCAAAGAGTTTACTTGATCAAGGTCTGCCCTTAATTCTGGCCTCATTAAAACCAAGTTGGTTATACCTTAATCATGAACAAGGCTTAATGTTACTCGTTATTAATATCAGTGAAAATTTTTTATTGATACCATGCTAATACCAGACCGTTTCTTCTGTGATCAAATTAAATTAAGCCTTCTGAAAATCATTTGTTCATAGTGGATGTGTTTTGTTGGTGCTTAATAAATGCTTGTTGACTGATTTAATTTCATAGGTGTTGGTTGTTGGGAACCCTGCAAACACAAACTGTATGGTGGCCAAGATGAATGCTCCATCCATTCCACCTGAAAATTTTACATGCCTGATGCGGCTGGACTTGAACAGGGCAAAGGCACAGGTAAATGAGATAGACCAATGGTTGTACTATGGGAAAAATCATTACCTGACAAGGTAATTGCATGGGAAAACAATGTCACTTACAGTGTAGCCTTGCTTTTAACTCGCAATTCCACACTTAATACCTCGCTTTGTTAACCAATCAGAATGCAAGATTTTATTCAGTTATGTGATTCTAACATTAATTCATCCTGATTCACCAGGTTTGTAATTCAGGAGGAGGT